ATCTCTACACCAACGTGGGGCTCAAATTCAGGACACTGGGATTAAGAGTCACATGCTCTTCCAACTGTGCCAGCCAGGCACTCTTTAATTTTCAGATTTTTACAGCAACCTGAGGGGTGACTGGGTGGCTCAGCTGGTTAAGTGTCTGCGTCTGCTCAGGTCATGGTTCCAGAGCCCTGGGATCAAGGGCGTGTCAGGCTCCCTGCTTGGTGGGAAGCTGCTTCTCCCTCTCCCTCTGTCTGCCATTCTGCCTGCATGTGCTCTCCCTCTTTCTGTCAAATAAATGAATAAAATCTTAAGGAAAAAAAAAAAAGCAAATTGAATTCCTAGGATAAATACACATGGTTGTGGTATATAACCCTTTTTATGTTGCTGGATTTGGTTTGTTAGTATTTTGTTGATGACTTTTACATCTATATTTATAAGAGATATTGGTCTGTAGTTTTCTTGTGATATCTTCGTGTGGTGTTGGCATCAGAATAATACTGGCCTCAAAGAATAAGCTGGTTAGTGTCCTCTCTTATTTTTTTGTTAAGAATTTTTTAGAAGGGGCGCCTGGGTGGCTCAGTGGGTTAAAGCCTCTGCCTTCAGCTCAGGTCATGATCCCAGGGTCCTGGGATCGAGCCCCGCATCGGGCTCTCTGCTCGGCGGATAGCCTGCTTCCGTCTCTCTCTCTGCCTGCCTCTCTGCCTGTTTGTGATCTCTGTCTGTGAAATAAATAAATAAAATCTTTAAAAAAAAAATTAAAAGGAATTTTTTAGAAGAACTGGTATTAACTCTACTTTCTTTGTTTGACAGAAATAGTGAAGCCGTCTGGACCCAGGCTTTTCATTGTGAGTCATTTTTTATTACTAATTCAATCCCTTCCTGTTACAGATCTATCCAGATTTCCTATTTCTTCCACTATCATTTTTAACAACCACTTATGATCTCGCAATCTCACCATGGCACAGGCAATACCTTGCACTCCCAAAATAGTTCAACTCTTGACTCACTCACCTAAACTACAATTCCTTTATTGCTGACGGGGAAATTGAGGTTACCATGTTAAACATATCTGTTAAACATAACATGTTTATGTTAAGTTTAACAGCCCAAATGCAGGGCTCGATCCCACGACCCTGATATCATGAACATAAACATGTTATGTTTACCAATCTGTCCTGATTTCAGAGAGCCAAGCCTAAACTGAACTCCCGTTCTCAGATGCATTACTGGTTGCTAATATTTTCCCTGTATTTCCTCATGAACAAATGTGGCTGCAAGTAAGCTGAGCAACAAGGTCATGTGCTCTGGTGACAAGGAAACAAGAAACCAGAGAAACATTTTTACCACCACCTTGAGGGATTTGGTGAATTGTTCCACACTCCCTCCTGCCAGCTCCTGTTCTCGTCCCACACATCTTCTATGTGACATTTGCAAGTTTTCAAAAGGTACCGTATTTGTCACCCTCTTCTGATGTACTTAAAAATAATAAAGCAAAATAATGAGATTGTAGGCTGGAAGCAAACACTCTCTCTGTCACTGACAAGATTTTAAAGATTTATTTATTTGACACAGAGGGAGCAGCAGGCAGAGGGAGAGGGAGATGTAGACTCTCTGCTGAGCAGGGAGCCCGATGTGGGACTCCATCCCAGGGCCCTGAGATCATGACTTGAGCCGAAGGCAGCCACTTAACTGACCAAGCCACCTAGGTCCCCACTGACAAATTTTTTTAACCTTTCTGTACTTCAGTTTCTTACCCATAATGTAGAGATAACAATAATATCTACCCCCAAAGAGTAGTTACAAGTAGGTAACATGTACGAGTGTTGGAAACAAGGCCTGGCACCTTTATGTAGGATATCAAAGTAAACCATGCCGCCAACAAAACACACTTGATTTTACCCTCTAAAATAGTTTCAGGTTGTTGCACTGAATATAAGCTCTAAGAACTGAAATTACATAGGAGATGATATGAGAATAATAAATGTCTCCATTCTCAAGGAAATCAACCTGCCAGAACAATGAATGGGAGGGGGTAGAGCATCATAATTAAAACCACAGCCTCTGGGGCACCTGGGTGGCTCAGGCATTAAGCATCTGCCTTTGGTTCAGGTCATGATCCCAGAGTCCAGGATCAAGCCCCACATTGGGCTCCCTGCTCAGCCAGAAGCCTGCTTCTCCCTCTCCCACTCCACCTGCTGGTGTTCCCTCTCTCACTGTCTCTCTCTGTGTCAAATAAATAAATAAAACCTTTAAAGAGAAAAAAAAAAAAGCACAGCCTCTGGAATCTGGTAGACCTATGTTCAAAATCTGACTCCATTTATATTGGCTGTTACCTTGAACAAGACCTTTCTCTAAACTTCTGTACTCATTCATAAATGGGGAAAAATAATACTAACTCTAAGGAGTTTTGATGAGGATTAAGACAGTATTTGTAAAGTACCTGGCACATAAGAGCCACCAAATAAACATAAACCACTTTGATTAGTTTTCTTAAATGTCGTTTTAATAAACACATGTGTTTAACAGGTAAACAACTAATATGGAAACAAGGACCTCATGTTGGTCCAGGGGTTCCCAATCCTGACTATACATGTGACTCACCTGGAGTGCTTTGAAAAAGAAAGGTTGCCTATGCTGCACCTAAGACAAACAGAATTATACTCTGAGCCTGGGGCCTGGACATCCATATTTTAATTTTTTTATTTTATTTCACTTTTTAAAATATTTTATTTATTTTATGGGGCACCTGGGTAGCTCAGTGGGTTAAAGCCTCTGCCTTCGGCTCAGGTCATGGTCCCGGGGTCCTGGGATCGAGCCCCACGTCGGGATCTCTGCTCAGCGGAGAGCCTGCTTCCTCCTCTCTCTCTGCCTGCCTCTCTGACTGATTGTGATCTCTGTCTGTCAAATAAATAAATAAAATATTTTTAAAAAATAAAATAAAATAAAATATTTTATTTATTTTAGAGAGACAGACTCTATACATGCACACGTAAGCAGTGGGGGAGAGGCACGGGGAAGGGAGAGAATCTTCAGCAGACCCCACACTGAGCCCAATGCAGAGCTCAATCCCACGACCCTGATACCATGATCTGAGCCAAAATCAAGAGTCAGGTGCTTAATTAACTGAGCCACCCAGGTGCCCCTGGACGTCAGTATTTTTAAAAGCACTCCAGGCAATCTCAATGTATAGCTGGGAGTGAGAACCTGAATAGCCAGAAAAAGTGCCGATTTTTACTAACCAAAACTAATTTTATTGATTAACATGACACTTCTTACAAAATAAGCCCATCATATCTGCCAAATGAGAACTACTATTATCCGATGGTGAAATGGAAGCTAAGAGAATCTCCACACTTTATTTCTGGAAGAAGCAGAGAGCCACATTTAGAAGTCTAGTCAAGCCCTAAAGCCCATACCCCTACTCAGATGCATCTCTAACTACCACTATTTCCTCAGCATGACCGTAAACCTAGTCATGACAGTCTCCTCATTAAAATCCTTTATAACACTTACCCCCTTAGGATAAAGCCCAGACTCCTTGCCAGGAACACCTCACTCCAGAATCTGGCCCCAGTGCGCACAGTGAGGACGAGCCACGTACATTCGGATGGCTCTGGCACTGGTCCAAAGAGCCAAACCACCACCCACCCAAGCCGACACCACTCAATCTCAGGGGCCAGTCAACTTGCCCAATAGGCAACAGTGTTAAACTAAAGAATGCCACAGGAATGGTGGCCCCTGAAATTGAGCAACATGGCAAGACTGGGGCTCTGTTTTTCTTTCTAGCATCATCTCTCTCTGATCCCTTCTCTCACTTTATTTATCACCTTAACACATGCTTTTCCCTCTGCATGGCACACTGGTTCCTAATTCTGCAGACATCAGTGTAAATGTCACTTCCTGGAGGAAGTCTTCCCCACCACCACCACACTGTCCCGCTCCCGGCTCGACACACCTCTGTGTCTTCTACAGCACCCCACATTTTCCCCAGGAACATCCTCACACCTCAGTGCTCCTGAGTGCAAGGATCCTGCTGGTCTTCTCACTAAGTCTCGCAACCATTAAGTACCTGCTGTATGGTGGAGGGAGGAGGAACACAAGCAACACGGAGAAGCTACTGTGAACTGCCTCACAACAAAAAAAGTCATTCTCCTAACTTGGGTCTCTATTTCCACCTCCTACGGTGAACTCCGTGTGCAATGCTGAAACTGCTAGATCTGCTGAATCTGGGTGTTGCACATACGATCATGTATTCTTCCCATTTCTTTTAATGAGCCTTCAGTTTTTCATAAAAAACTTTCAAAAAAACTTTAAGGAAAAAAATAAAGTGAGTTCTGTGTCTATCCTCAATACTGTCTTTCTTGCTATTATTTAGCTACAGGATACCCATCAACAACCTGTCATAATCGCTTTCCCACCACCTGATGTCATGGCCATCAGGCAAAGAATCTAAACCTGTTGGCAGTATAAGAAAGTACTAAAGAACCCTAGGGTCAGCCAACAAAAAGCAAGAAGCTTCTGCCAACAGCCAGAAACGGGACTGGAACAATACGTTTCCTCCGGGACAATAGAATTGCTGTTCGGGTCTAAAAACAGGAAGAAGAAAAGGAGACTCAAAAGAGTGAGCAAGCTACAGAAGAGAGCACAGCGGTGATCTATTAAGTCAGGGGAGCTGAGTTATATAAATTCAGCTTGCTCTGGTGCAGGCCTAGGAGCCAATTCACCAACCGGCCAAGCATGCTCAATTCCAGCAGCTACCTAATGTGCACAGAAGAACACTCTGAACACTAAAGAAAAAGTCCCCAATCACAAGAGCCATTCCCAAAGAACTGTGCACCATAAACCGTTCTCTCTAGAACACTGTGACAAGGATATTAACTTTTCAAGTTCAACAGATGAAAAAAATAGAACGAAAACCCTCACTTTCTAGCCCCTGTTCCCTCATGAATGTTCCTGAGGCAAAGGACTGTGATATCAGTGCAGCTGACCTAAGCTCTGACACTTGCCATTACCTCTTGCTGCTTCTCCTCATTGGGGTACGTGTCTACAAATACTCCCAGCCCCACAAATTTGTCCATGTTTCCAAACACAGGCCCTAGAGAGAGAGAACAGATGATGAACAATGAAATAAAGCCAAGAGTTGATAAAGGAAAAACATATCACTATGATGGACGAAAAAGTAAAATTCAAGTGACTCCCAGGCCTCTCTTTAAGATGAGAAAACATATGTAAAAGCACCTGGCAAAGGGCAGGGCCTGTACCAAGCACCCAGTAAAGTCGGTAGCTGTTTGTTACTGAAGGCAGGGGGAAGAAAGGCCACTGCAACACTGTTTAGCACTATAGCTGCTCCCTGGTCCACACCAGTTGCTAAGGTGCCCCTAAAGAATTCTGCTTCACGAATGCTTGGTGACAACTATGCCCCTGAGAGAGAGCTGAATTCCCAAGTCCCGGTTCTTGTTGCAAAAAAGAGATCAGGTCAAATCAGGTTCAGTTTGCCGCATCCTTGGAGCAACGGCTCCCATGCAACTCCTAACTCAAGGAGTTCTGAGACCACTCACTCCGCATGCTACAAAGAAGTCAGCTCACCCAGTCACCTGTGTTTGGGAAAGCCGGGGCTTTCACCCACCCAACTGGCCATGTGGCCTCCAAGGGAAACCAGAAGGAACTAATTAGCACAATCTCGCCCCAGGATGAGTCAAGTTCTGCTGCTCTATTAGGACCCAGACCCCATTCTAGAGACTGGACAGGCTGGTCTTCATCCGCAGACATCAAGGGAGTGGGAAAACTGCTGGCACTGGGGGGGCGGGGAGGGGAGGACATATGCTTCTCAAAGAGAGGGCACATGACAAAGCAGACCTGTCGCACCCCACACAAGGGCACCCAGGGTCCCAATACCTGGCTGCATCCGATCCTTCGTGTACCAGATTGCCAAGCCATCCCCATGCAGATTCTTCTTCCCTTGTCCGTGGATTTTGAAGTGCACCTGCAACTCCCAGTCTCTCAGGAAGCACGGCTAGAGTGAAAAAGACACCGGAATCAATGAAGGGCACAAAATGTGAAAGCCCTCAAGCCCTCAGAGCGGTCTAGAGACTTGGAAAACCTAAGTTCAGGCAACATGAGGCAAAGGGTTGAAACTGAAATCTATGACTTGCTAAGTGTTTGCGTCATAAAATCAAACAGGTTAGGCCGTCCAACTGCGTATGATATTCACTATGAAAAGTGAATAAGCCTCCCAGTTATCTTCAGTATCTCCCATAGGAACAGGACAGTACTCCAAAGTTGGAAAAGACAAGGGACTGCTAAGGCAGCAGAGCAAAGCATCTCAGCCTTTAAAGCACAGGTGGCTATTTGCAACTTCAGATCACTCCTGACAGATTCTAAAAACTCTGGATTTCAAGAAAGGTCAAAGTCTCATTCATTACAAAAGAATTTTTTTTAATTAAAAAAAAAAAAGGCTAAGTCATTATGCAAAGGTTTCCAGGAATAATTAGCAGACATGTAAACAACTCTAATTAGCTAGACTTGGCCCTATGTCAAGCTGAGGGGCAAGCCAGAATTCCCTAAGAGGGGTAAGTTACAGTTCCCCAAAACCTCATGCCCGTGGCCAAGAAGCATAAATGTACCAAAGCAGAACACCACCATCCCCATCACAGGGACAGCTTCTGATTGGAAAACGTTATGGAGGTGGGTACTAACAGACTCCTATGTTTGTTCTTTGGAGTTTTCTTCTTTAACTGTGTATCAAAAGCTTGGAAAAATGGAGAAGGAGATAAGTGGATGGTTAAGTGCTCTAAAGAGCTGAACACTTTTTCACGGAGAGAGCAGAGTAGCTATCTGGCTTAGACAGGCTCCTGATTAACAGTCACTATGAACAAAGAAGGGAATGAGGAGCAGATAGGCCAACAGGATTCACCCGGAATCTTTATACAGATTGTTCTGGCTCTTGAGCGAGATATTGCTGGATCGTTTTTAGTTTTCATTTTTAATTTCTGGGAAATCTTCCAAAAGTGTTAGTATCAGGAGCACACAGTCAAATGAAAGGGGTGAAGTTACTTCTGAATTCATTTAAAAAACCCACAATATCTGATAGCTTACCCTACCTTGAAGAGCCCAGTCCCTGCATTGTTGTTCTGGGTTCTCTTTCTGCTGTTTCACTTAGATTTCAGGACAAGAGTGAAATTCAGTGGCAAGAAGCTGCCCCAGAGCCAGTGGGTAGGTATTACTCCCCCTGGGATGAGACCAGGGTTGGAGAGGTTCACACTGAGCCAAGAGGTGCCTGCCACTTATCCTTGGCCTCCTCTACCATAGTGCCATATGCCTTTGCTCAGGGCTATACCTCATATAGCTTCTGAGACTTGGCTGTACATTAGATTCACCTAGGGAGTTTTTAAAAAATCAAAGTAACCACAGGTATCAACTCACCTGGACAGCCAATTTGAGAACCACTATTCAAACAAATACATCCTATTCAAATAACTCAGAAACAACTCCAAAGCCTATTCTGATAGGTAACAACAACAACAACAAAAATACAGCATCAGACAATCTGAAGATGGGCAGGATAACTAGATCCTAAACTAGAACTGATGCTAAGAGTTATGTAGGGGCAGCTAGCAAGTCAGCAGCAAAGCATCTAGCCCTGGACATAATCATTTAGTAACCAGAGACCTCCATCAATGAAGCTTATAACAGACGCATAATGTAACACACATTTCTGTAACCATTTTAACTTTCCAAAGTTTTTCATGTCTATTGTCTTATTTTCACAATAACCCTAGTGGGCACGGAGAAGGTATTACAAAGCACATTTGGCAGACGGAGAAAGGGAGCAATGAGAGAATTAAGTAACAGCGGAGGGCTCACAGTGGGTGTGTAATACGGCGAGATCTGGAACCCAAGTCTTTCAACTGCCAGCCCTTAGTCTCTTCTACCAGAACACACCGCTCTGTACTCTGTCCAAGAATGAGTTCAACACTACAATCTGGGTTAAGAGGCCAGCTTGTGCAAATAGCTTATGTAGAAACTTCTCTTATCCCTCTGTTCTGTTAGAATTCTCTGTCATACAAAATGATCAGAGAAAAGAAATTGTTCTCTTTGCTGAGGTTCACTTATCAATGACCATGAAAAGTTGTAAATCGAAAATCATGAACAAGTAAGTTCTTAGCTTATGAGAACCCAAGAAAAAGTATTAAAGAATGCCAAGGTCATTCCCAAAAGTAAAGTGGTTGTAAAAGATTTAGAAAGAGCCCTAGAAACCAAAATGAAAGCATCGTCTTACACTTGTACAAAATCACAGTGCAGCCACACCAGGAATACTGCATTCACTTCTTGCCGCCATACCTCAAGGAAGACAATGTAGCTAGAAAAGGTCCAGAGAAGGACAAATAAAATGACCAAGGGGCTCAAAGTGGCTTTCACATGAAAATAAAATTTAAAATTAGACACTTTAAAGTGAAATAACAAGGGTAGATACTGGGATGAAGTTTAGGTTAAATTTAAAAGAGCAGTCTTCTACTTTACGAAGTAATTAAATATGAGTTAAGTTGTTAACCTCCAAGAAGTAACAGTATCAGGTCAATCAGGAATTAAGACATTTCAGAAAACACGGAGCCTGGGTGGCTCAGTTGGTTAAGCATCTGCCTTCAGCTCGGGTCGCGATCCCAGGGTTCTCAGATCAAGTCCCTCATTGGGCTCCCTGCTCAGCAGAGAGCCTGCTTCTCCCTCTCCCACTGTCGATCCCCAGGTTATGCTCTCTTGTTCTCTATCAAATAAATAAGTAAAATCTTAAAAAAAAAAAAAAAAAGACTTTTCAGAAAACAATCAAAATGGATTATTTGCTGTAACTGGAACAATTGAGAGCATGTCTCTACATATCTGATTGCACTGTGAAGGTCATCATATTCTCTGAAATGAAAATCCATGACATCCACAGAAGACAGAGCACTGGGGATAAACAGTAAAATTAAGTCAATATGCCACTGCTTAACTTTTTCAGGCTTTCTGGACCACCAACACAGGAGGGAGAAAGATTCTTACCACCCGGTTCCACAGGGCACCCTGTTTACTTTGCATATCTGGGGTAAGGCGGATATACTGGGTCATCACCATGGCGTTGCCCATCAGATTCCACAGTGAGGAACTGCCCGTGCCCACACCTACAGGGACGAAGTAGATCAGTTCACACTCTTCAATACCAACCCACCCTGAAACCACCACGGATCCCTCCTAAAACTGGAGTCGTCATCATCTTCTCCCTTTCGTGACACTCGATCTCCTACCTTCTGTCTTTCATAAATCTCAAATCCTTACCATCTCCACAGCTTCCTTTGACAAAGGCCTTCTCAGATGAACACCCCAGAGCACATCAGAGCTAGCACTTTATTCCTGCCTCAATAACCACAGCTCAGATCCATTCCTCCCATTTTATATGTAAATTTTAGCACCATAAAAGAAAAAAAGAAAAAAAACCCTCCCCAGTTCTACCAAAAAGAGCTTGACTCTCAGGTTTCTAGGGCTTAATCACATTCTTTCTGTAAACGATGCAAGGGTGAAGGTACTTCTCCCAATACCTCAGGCTTCATGCCTCTTGCCAAGTGAGAACTCTGTGTCTGTAATAGTCCATTGTGCTACCAGAGACGGCAGATTAGGCACTCAGGGCATCTGATGAGTAGAATAAATGATCACCCTTAGCAGCTGTGTATATACACTCTTGCACTTTGAGTGATTTGTCTGCTGTCCCACACTCCAGTGGGGAAACAGACTTGTGTGAGTTAAGCCATCTGCATTGATTTGGTCCTCTCTGTAGCTAACTACATAAATTTTCTGGTCGATAAAGCTGTGTCTAAGAGCCTAAGAACCCTAAACAGAGCAAAGCTAACTAGCCTCTTTCATCAACAGGGCTCCTAGACTGGAGAGCAGGTGTTTTAACCGGCAACAGAATTTCCTCTTTCTCAGTCCGGCCAAGTTCTATCCCGGCTCTGCCTCCTGCTTCATTTCTAGCACATCCACAGCTCCACCGGGAGACCGACTCTTTGCTAGTGGCCTTCAGTCACTACCCACCATTTGCAGTTCTATCCCTTCCTACATTCCTGCTGTCCAACTCCGAGCTCCCCTTTGTCCAGGCCTAGCGCTAGCGGCATCCGAGCCCGGCTTCGACCTGCTAGAAACTTCCAAAACGGGGGGCGGGGAGAGCTGACCCCTGCCCTTTGGACCCGAGGCTCCCAAACGCTGCGCGAGTCCCCGTGCCCCACGCGGTTTCCTTTGGGGCCACGAGCCCTTAGCCACCCCCGGTCACTACCGCTGAGCTCAGATCCCGAAGCCCTCCCCGTGCACGACCACCTCGCCCCGGGCGCCTCACCCTGGTAGGGCTTCGACAGCGAATGCTCCCGTTTCAAGTACTCGAACGTTTGACCCGCCCCGACTTGCCGTGGTCCCTGCCCAGACCCCATCAAAAGAAGAAGGAGCAACATCCTGGACCCATTCCGAGCCGACAAACGCTGCCGCCACCGCTGCCACCACCCAGAGAGTTCTAGAGTCGCCGCCATCTTTCCCACCGCCCATCCCTTCATTAAAAGCCCGCCCCGTAGCCCAAGCCATTAGCCCAGGGAACCATCTGCCCCGGGTCCCATTGGTTCTCCTCGAGCCCCCGCCCCCGCAGGTGAGCATCTCACCGATTGGCTGGCTTGGGTATCAGTTGCCTTGCCAACCCAGGAAAAGGGCGTGGCCTAATGCCTGGCCTCCCTTATTTGCATTTGTCCTGAGCTCCACTAGGCCTGCTGGGAGACGTAGTGATTTCTATTTTGTCTCTGCGTTCTAGAGTAAATTTAAAGAAATAAAATGTTTCTCGCAGTTTCACGCAAATGTTCTATCCTCTCTCCCATAGTACCCTCCTGTCTGTCGAGAGCTATCCATCGGATGTAGAACTGAACGGAGAAATAGTCCACAATTACTGTAGCTGGACAATTTTCAGGAAAATTACCAAATCTCTAAAAGACTTGAACAGAACAAAGAATTTGACCTGATGACATTTATAGAAACTCCACACGCCAACAGCAGAAGACACATTCTCTTCAAGTGCAAAAGAAAGATTTGCCAAGATAGCCCGGGTAAGACAAACCAAAAAACCACCTCCACAAATTCAAAGGAAATGAAAGCACACAAAAGACGTTCTCCTATCGTGACGGAATTAGACTAGAAATAGGTAACTGAAAAACTTCTGAGAAATCCTCAAATATTTGGAAATTAAACAACTCACTTCTAAATAACCCATAAGGGAGTAGAACTGCTGAACGATTGCAGCAAGTTTTCTAAAAAATGGAACAGGGTTATCAATCCTTTACCTGGGTGGCACAGTAATACACACTAAAGAGTATGAAACCAGAAGAGTTAAGAGTCATCCCAGCTTCCCACCTTTTCCTCACCAGTTCCATCACCCAATCAATAAATAAGTCCAGATGATGTTATTCCTAATCACCTCTCAACACCATCACATCCTTTCCATCTGTTGCTTTGTCTTTCTCCCAAACCACAACACGTGTCCCAGATTTTACTCTGATCACCATCATCCACACGGCCACCCAAGTGACCTAAAGGGTCACTTAGACCTAAAGGGTTAGACCTAAAGGGTCTAACCATGCCATTACCTGAGTGTCAGGGGTAAATGTGTTGACACGGGTAAAGCTCTTAAACAGCTGCCAGCATGTAGTAAGCACTGTATCATCACCATTATTAGTGTTAACCGAGTCCTTGATGGTTACCATCACCTGTGGGGAAGAGATTCAAGCCCCTCAACTTGGCAAACAAAACCCCCTGCCACTTGGCTCTGTCATTCTCTGCCTTTATTGCCTCCCGCTTCCTTTCTTCACCTATACCTCCAACTTTTCCTCTTCCCCTCTACTTTTCCCCAGGCCACCTCCTCCTGGAAGCTTTCTCTGACCTCCTCAGGCAGCAGCAGTTGCCCCACTCTGAGCTCTCAATGTTGCCCAAGCATCTTTCTTTCAGAGCACTTGCCAGGTCTGTGTCTGTCTTCCCAACAGACTTAACCAAGCTTAATTCTCTCTTTTCTGAACATAAATATATTTAATAAGAAAAACACAAATGTAAGTCTGTTTTATGAGTCATCAACATTTTAAAATGAAAACTGTCGGGGCACCTGACTGGCTCAGTCAATTGAGTGTCTCTGCCTTTGGCTCGGGTCATGATCCTGGAGTCCCTTTGGGTTGTCTGCTCAGTGGGGAGTCTGTTTCTTCCTGCCCACCTCACGCTCTCTCTTGCTTCCTCTCTCTCTCTCAAGTAAATAAATAAAATCTTTAAAATAAATAAATAGGAGGGCCTGGGTGGCTCAGTCATTAAGCTTCTGCCTTAGGCTCAAGTCATGATCCCAGAATCCTGGGATCAGGTCCCAAATCTGGCTCCCTGCTGGGTGTGAAGCCTGCTTCTCCCTCTCACACTCCCCCTGGTGGTGCTCCCACTCTTGCTGTCAAATAAATAAATTAAAATCTTAAAAATTAATAAATAAATAACTAGGAAATGAAAACTCTCACAACCATCCAGGCACCTGGCTCAGTGGGAGGGAGTATGTGACTCTTGATATCAGGGTTCTGAGTTCAAGCCCCCCACATTGGATGTAGAGGTTACTTAAAAATACAGTTTGGGGTGCCTGGGTGGCTCAGTCCTTAAGCCTCTGCCTTTAGCTTGGGTCATGATCCCAGGATCCTGGGATCAAGCCCCACATGGGGCTCCCTGCTCAGCAGGAAGCCTGCTTCTCCCTCTCTCTCTCCCACTCCCCTTGCTTGTGCTCCCTCTCAAGCTGTGTCTCTCTCTGTCAAACAAATAAATAAAATCTAAAAAAAATACAGTTTAAATTAATTAATTAATTTACTAATTAATTGTCACAACCACCTATCAATTTACACACTCTGCATAAAGTAGATGTTTAGTGATATGACATAAGAAATTGCAATGAATCAGGCACCTGGGTGGCTCAGTGGGTTAAGCCTCTGCCTTCAGTTCGGGTCGTGGTCTCAGGGTCCTGGGATAGAGCCCCGAGTCTGGCTCTCTGCTCAGCAGGATGCCTGCTTCCCCCCATCCCCTGCCTGCCTATCTGCCTACTTGTGATCTCTGTCAAATAAATAAATAAAATCTTTTAAAAAAAAAAAAAGAAAGAAAGAAATTGCAATGAATCTATTCATATCATACCGTAGCTTTAAAACAATTCGTGGATCCCAATTACCATAAGGTAAAATCCAAACGTCTTAGTTTAGCATTCAAAGCCCTTCAACCTGACTCAAATCAGCTGTACACATGTCTATTACAATGTGTGTCAACCTGAATTATGTAGCTCAATTAACAGATTATGTGTTTGTTTCCCTGGCAAGGTTGGAAGCTCCTGGACCACAGGAAGCAGATCTTACTCATTTCCTATCCCAGGCCTCACCCACTTCCCCATTCCCTAACCCATCACCCAGCACATAGTAGGAGTTCCAATTGTTTTGAATAAAATTATCTTCATTATGTTTCCCTGTCAGCTGGAATTGTTTCATTGTGGTATGATATACATAAAATCAAACTTACCAAAAAAAAAAATCAAACTTACCTTTTTAACCATTTTTAAGTAGACAGTTCAGAGGCATTAAATACATTCAGTTTGCTGTGTTACTGGATTTTGGATAGAGTGTCTTAGCAGACCTCATTGTAAAATTCACTGTGATGAAGAAAAGGGGAATAAAGGAGAAGGTGTGACAAAATACACAGGACAATAAAGCAGATGATTTTGTTCAGATTATTGCAATAGGGAGAATGCTAATTAGTGAGGAACATATCAAAGAGAAGGAAGTAGGGGGGCACCAGGGTGGCTCAGTGGGTTAAGCATCTGCCTTCAGCTCAAGTCATGATCTCAGGGTCCTGGGATTGAGCCTCACATCGGACTTCCTGCTTAGCAGGGAGCCTGCTTCTCTCTCTCTCTTTGCCCTTCCCCCATGTTCTCTCTCTTTCTCAAATAAATAAATAAAATCTTAAATTTAAAAAAGAGAAGAAAAAAAAAAGGAAGGGGGCCAGGTTAGTTACATAGACAGGTAAACAAGGGAGTCATCATGAAGAAGGATGGAGATGGTTTTATCTGAGTCACTGAGGAAGGGCAAAAGTGGGTCTTATCTCAGAATATTCTAGAGCAGGATAGTCTTTTGAAGTTAGCCATTTCTCTGAACTCAAAATGGGGTGAGAGGGGACACAAAATGGTGAGGGGATTTCTTGACTGTAGCTGCTTTCCAGAAGTACAGGGTTCATATACAGTTCGACACAGTTAGGTCTTGAGGGTGTTCAAGGAAAGAGAAAAAGGAGCCATGTCCTCTTCCCACACCACCCTACACACACGTAGAAGCATCTTCTGATAGTTGGGGCAGGTCTTGACCCACCATCTTTCAGCTGCTTAATATTCTCTTTTTCTCCAGAGAATCATCTCCCATGATCTATGGCTATACACCCCCAGGGTGGGAGGATGGATAGACAATGTGAGTTGTGCATTCCAGCAGTTCCAAATGATTCCTCTGGTTTTTATCTTCAAAGCCAAGCAGGTGCCTCCACCTAGGAGCAACTTGAAGCCTGATGCCTCTACCCCACCCGATGCCAGAGGCTCCAGGTCAGCCTCTCGGCCCCATCCTTTCCTCCGTCTCCTGCCCTTCTCTACTAAACCTTGCCATTCCATTTAAAACCACCCCAAAGCGGGTGCCTGGGTGGCTCAGTGGGTTAAAGCCTCTGCCTTCGGCTCGGGTCATGATCCCAGGATCCTGGGATCGAGTCCCACATCGGGCTCTCTGCTCAGCAGGGAGCCTGCTTCCCTTCCTCTCTCTGCCTGCTTCTCTGCCTACTTGTGATCTCTGTCTGTCAAATAAATAAATAAAATCTTAAAAAAATAAAAAAAATAAAAAAAATAAAACCACCCCAAAGCAAGGCCTAACATCAGCCCTGCTAAAGCCAAGTAGACCATTTGTCCCTCCTCAGAGGTCTGGGTTAGGACTTGGGATTAATCCAGCACCAGCCTTAGAGTGGCAGTTAAGCCAGCCCTACCCCAGCCCCTGCCCCATTCCTTCCCAACACGCTCCCCACCCCACGACTCCCCTGCACCCCAGTTCTCCAAGCAGACCCTAGAGCACAGAAGGGGACGGGAGCTCTAACACTAAGTAGCCAACTACTTTCCAGTGGCAACTTACAGATTCTGGCCTCCCAACGAGCCGCAGTTGAATAGTCTGGAAGGCTTGGGGCCCACATATGCCTGGCTTCCATGCGCAAACACCTGATTGATAAGTCTGGGGCAGCGCCCAGGGATTTGGTTTTGAAAATCTCTCCCCAGAGAATGGGATATGCAGCCAACTTCCAGAACCACATGCTTTCATATCCAGCATCTTATTTTGACCTCACATGGACCCAGTGTGGTGGGCAGAGGAGGCATGACCACAGTTGAACATTAGGACATCTGTATTCAGTTCATAGAGTAAATTTCAAACAGTGTATCGCACCTGAATTTAGAGGTAAGATTTCGAGATTTGTTTTAAAATACTCTGGAGGAGGGGTGTCTGGCTGGCTCAGC